GGGTCTTCTCAGGCCCATGAGCTGCAGCCAGCTGGTTTCCCGCTGCTGTAGGTGACCAGTGGCCAGGCATTGCTGCTTCCCTGACATTTTGGGGATCACAGCAGTCCCAGCACTCGCTGTACCTTTCTAGCTCAATGTTGCTTCACCTCAGCTGCTCCTGCCCTTGGCCCTGATGGAGGCTAGTTAACAAAAAAGGTCCTGTCCTGACTCTAGTTCAGACAGAAGGTGACCACATGCCAGAGATTTTTCTTAACTCATGTTAGGACCAGTTCAAAAGAACTCAGCCACCATGGCCATGGACTGAAGGCACTCAAATGGGACAAGGCATTGTTTTCCTTTGGAGACTTCAGTGTAATCTTTCTTGCTTGCACCAGACTTCCTTCCAGTCTCCCAGCCTTTTGTCAAGACCAGTCTGAAGAAAGATGCTTTCAGCACAAAATAAGGCTGGGGCTCAGCTCAGTTTGCACAGGGCAGGAAGAGGGTCAGTGTGCCGTAAGGGCTTTTTTGAGTTTGCTTTGCTGGAAGACTTTATGTTTAGACTTTTAAAGGCCTCAATTATTTGCTGTCCTGAGGCTGTGAAGCCAAGCACACACATAAAAAGTCACAACCTCTTTCCTCCAGATTTTCACCTGCAGTCCTTATAAATTGGAGTGAACTTATGTCTTTTCAAAGTCTCCAGAATGTTCCAAGTCTCCAGGCCTTCTGAAAAGTGAATGAGGCCATACTTCTCACCTAGAAGGCGAGGCCCTGAAATCAGGTCACCCCTCCCCCTCAAGGGGACTTTGTAAGCACTGACCCCATATAGTCACCTTGGCAGCGTGTCTGGTCACCCCCAGCATGTGCATTGTCCTCGGTGCTGACACCCAGGCTTAGTCATGTCTGCTGAGGTTCTATGAAAAGGAGGGCAGCAGCGGGGTTATCTGGAAGGTTCTGCAAGACTCCGCCTTCCTTATCATAGAGTGCATTGGGAACCTCAGCAGATACAACTAAGCCTAGCTACTCAGGAGGCACAAATCGTGAGGATTGTGGTTCAAAGCCAGTGTGGGCAAATAGTTCGTGAAACTATAGGTTTGTGAACCCTATCTGGAAAAAAAAAAACATTTCACAAAATAGGGCTGATGGAGTGGCTCAAGGTGTAGGCCCTGAGTTCAAATCCCTGTGCATGCTAGACAAACACTTAACCACTGAGCTACTTAACTGCTGAGCTGTACACACCCAGCCTGGGGGCTTGTTTAGAGAGCCAGAAAATCACACACTAAAGCAACACCAAGAGTGCCGCAAATGGCAGTAGAATCTGCTTGTCCATGTCCCCAGTCCTCTGTGGACTCCGGCTCAGGAGCTGTAGCTGCCTGGCTTCCCCGTCAGTGACTGTTGGTCTGGGCCTTGGGTTAGTAGCTTCCTGACGCTGTCTGTTTCTCAGTGAGAAGGAGTTCTGGGAACACCGCACGGGTCTACATGAGGCATCAGAAGCCCGTCTGGCCAGTCTGTCCTTTTAAGGATTGGTGGTATGTGACACCGTATGATCCTTTTCTGTGAGGCTCTGAGCTTATTCCTTGAAATCACAAGACTCCAACCAACCCCCAGACCGCAGAGCCGGCAGGCAAGTGTCAGGGACAAGTTGCCCATTTTACAAAACACGAACCTGAGACACAAAGAGGTCGGGCAGCTTGCCCAGAATCACAGAGGCAAGAAGCAGGGAGTCCAGGTCCTCGCTGGGCGGTGCACAGGCCCAGAGCTTGGGTCACTCTTGCTACATGTGCCTGGAGAGGCTGTAACTTCCAGACCAAGCCCTGTGGGCTCTGAGGGGCTGGCACAGTTCCCCTGCCGGCTACGTGGTGCTCTTTGTGCTCATCTGGAGAGAGGGGCCATTTATAAAGACACCTCTGGCTGGGGCCACGTGGATGGAGCACAAGCCCACAGCATCATCCACACCTCTTGGAGGACCACCCCTCTCGGTTGGGAGAGACCCCTGGGAGCGCACTGTGGAACGGCAGTTCATATTTGGGGATCCTGGTGAAAAATGAAATGCAGATTCCCAGGGCGTGGAACAGACCACTGCCCAAGAATCCTGGACCAGTCTGGGAAGAAGTGCTGTTCTGACTGGATGCCCACCGTGAGGAACCACCCCTTGGCAGAGCCCTTTCCTAGCCTCTTCACCTTTTCAGAAGCCTCCAGGCAAGTCAGGTATGCAAAGAAAAGGCCTTCATCTCTGTCCCCCCACCAGCACCCCGCAGCTCACAGACTGGGATCTGTGAACCCACAAAGTAAGCCAGGCAGGTAACTGCATGGAGAGTCAAATGGGAAAGTCAGAGCCAGGCCTGATTTGTTGTGCAAATGGCCAGGACTTCAAACTTAGCTCTGCCGGGCTCAGCTAGAGTGACCACAGCGTTAACTGTGGCTCAGAGGCCTATGCTGGGGTGGCCACGGTGACAATGAGGGCCCGTTTGGGTCAGATATAAGTGGGTGTACACTGACGGGGGTTCGGAGGAACTGCCACTATGTGTGGAATGAAGAAAGGGCAGGAGGATAGCCAGGGTAAGGACAATCCATGGGACCAGGGCCAGGGTGGGGATGCTCAGCCAGAATATAGACTGGAAAGAGACAAAACCAAGGACCTCACATGCCCAGCAAGGAGGTGGGTGACCCCTATAGGCCTGAGGCATCAGCAGAGGCTCCCAGAGACAAGTGACGCCATCATGGGGGATGTGTGAGGAAGGGAAAGCCAAAAGTGGATCAGGAAGGAGGATACTGCAGGACACTAGGCATGGGGTTGAGCATAGTGGTGCACAACTATAATCCCAACTATGCAGGAGGCAGAGGTAGGAGGATCACGAGCTGAGGCCAGCCCCAGGCAAAAGTATGAAACCCCTCCTAAAAAATAACTAAAGGAAAAAGAAAAGGGCTAGAGCCGTGGCTCAGGTGGTAGAATGCCTTCCTAGCATGTGTGAGGCCCTGAGTTCAAACTCCAGTACTATAAAAAAAAAAGTCTTAAGTATAACCAGGCTGGGTTGGGACACCAGCCTCGGGAGGGAGCTGCAGACGTCAGAGATGGTGCAGACAGATGACAATGGCCACAGCTGATTGGCCGTTCCCATGGTGCAGATGGGAAGGGAGGAGTTAGCCAGGCTGGAGCAAACGTGCTGTTTCCCTCATCATTGCTGGTCCAGCACACAGGAAGTGGTGTCAGCACAGAAAGGCCAAGGTTATGGGGCAGAGGGAGGACTGTCCTGTGCATACCACTTATCCTAAGTAAAGGAAGAGCAAACCCACCTAGCTAAAAAGACAAAAATAGTGTGACAGACAGTGAAAAATAACCTCAGCCCTGCTCTTCACCCAGGCCCACTCGTGCTGATTATTGGAGCAGGCATTGGTCCGGGAGAAATGTCCGAGGAAAACATGCTGTGGCGGGATGCTGCGGGATGCTGTGGGCCTGTGATCCCAGCACTTGGGAGGAAGAGCCAGGAGGAGCAAGTTTGAGGCCACACTGGGCTACCTAGCAAGACCTGTCTCAAAAAAAAAAAAGAGGATGGAGTTTAGTGGTAGAGGGCTTGCCTTCCAAACACAGGCCCTGGGTTTGATCCCAACCCCCGACTCCAAAGCAGGGAGCTTTAGTGTGGACTGTTAATGCTCTCTCCAGCCTTAGAGAACCCCTTACACTTTACAGTCGTAATTATCCATGGGGGCATTTATACCAAGACCCCCTAGGGATGCCTAAAACTTCAGACGGTACCAAACCTGATACATACTGTGTGTTTTCCTGTACATACATAGCTATGGTAAAATTTAATTTATGAATTAGGTGCAAGAGGTTCATGACAACTACTAATAATAAAATAGAACAATTACTTCGTTAAGTAAAATAAGCATCAGTCGAACACAAGTACTGTGATGCCTCCACAGTCAATCTGTGACTGCCTGTAACTAGCGGGCGGGTGGCACATACAGCGTGGATGCACTGACAAAGGAACGACTGACGTCCCAGGCAGGATGGAGCGGGAGGATGTGCGATTCCACCACTCGACTGAGAATAGTGCACCATGTAAGACTTAAGAATGGTTTACGTCTAGGATGTGAGAGTGATCTGGCTACGACATCTGTCACCCCATTGATCACCAGGGTTGATTCGGCTGATCTGGCCGACTGGCTAGGCGGGTGTCCCCTTCCCTCCCCACTGCTCCATGTGTGTCCCTCCCAAAGCTGTATGCCAAGTCGAAGAGGAGGACCATCCCCGATAGAGGACCATTCTTCTGTTAAGGGTATACAAGTAGCTGCGCTCCCCTGCCAGAATCTCCAGACAAGCTCTCAAGAATGGTTTAGTTCCAGAAATTTCCATTTAATACTTTTGGACCTGGTTGACCACAGGTAGCTTAAACTGGATGAGGGGGAGGGGCTGCTGGGACCCCATGGACAAAAGGTTCTGTTGTGCACTGGGGCTCCTCTCCTGCCCCCGCCGAGGTGGGCATGGGGTGGTGTGCATTGTCTGTGTGCAGTTGGTGTTTTACTGTGACACCAGTGATTCAAAGACACTTTGCTGTCATTGTGATTAACCCGTTTGATTTAGTCGTTCAGCCTCAGTCTCCAAGTCTCTGAACTCTAAAAGGCAATCTTTTTTTAAAGTTAACTTAATTTGCTTTTCCACCTGGAGCCCCCATGAAACGGTTGGAGACTCACTGAGATGCGTTTACCGCTAAGTTTCACACACTCATTACCAATTTGGTGCCACATGGCGGTGGCGAGGCCCCCTACAGGTGTGCAGAGCCTGTGAACGCTTCGTTTTGCACGGTCCTTTTCACTAGACAACAGAACGAAGTTTCCCACAACCCGTAAAATCAGACAAATGGAAAGATGTACTGTGACATTCCAGAGCTTGGTGAATATGGCTTTTTCTTTTTAAAGTAAACCTTTGGGTCAGAAGAGAGAGGAAGCACATAATCTGACATCACCATGGGAACCAGTTGCTCCTCTGCCACCTCACTGTCTGGGGCTCCTCTGTTTTGCAGGTGGTTTTCAGCAAGTACTGTAACTCCAGCGACATCATGGACCTGTTCTGCATCGCCACCGGCCTGCCACGGTGAGTGTCCACCAGGGTGACTGTCCACCATGGTGAGCGTCCACTGAGGGTCCATGCTGCCTCGGGTAAAGGACCTGGGAGGGAGAAGCACTGCAGGGGGAAGGTGGTGAGGCACAAAGGGGCCCCTGGCTTCTACATAGGGGCTCTTTCAAAGCAGTGGGATCGCCCCTGGGGAGGCTCAGCCTCATCTGCCCACCTCCTGCAGTATGTCCTGTGTCCAGTACAGAAGGACCGCTGGGCTGAATTTAGCGGAACTTAGCCCCCTTGGAGCTGGGTTTTTCTTCCATTTAGTCATTTGCTTTGGAGGAAGGAGGATGGTTGTGTTTGGGGTTGTCCTCAACCCCAAATGCCTCTGGGAGCTCCTCAGAGATTGACACTCAGTACAAGACTCCCTGTAGAAACGAGTTGGAACCAGTGTTCGACCTTACACAATTCCCTGAGAATTATTTCCTAATTCAGGTCTGAAAGGGCAAGGGAATTTTCTAATTAGAGGTTGAACATCCCTAATCCAAAAGCCAAAATTCTCCAAAATCTGAGACATTTTTAAGCTGACATGATACTGAAAGTGGAAAATTACGCCCCTGACCTCATGTGACAGGTGGCAGTCAAAACGCAGGCACACAAAAATGACTGAACAAAATTACCTCAAGGATATGTGTGTTGAAGCCAGTTGAGGTTTTGGGTTGAGACCTCAGTCCCTTCCCAGTCTCCACCTCCCAAGTGGCTAGGATGGCAGGCATGAGGCATCGCACCGGACCTGGTGTGGTAATTAATGTTAAAGATAGGATCAGGGTCAAAGAAGGTGAAAGGAGGGGAGGAGGACAGAAGGTTTGGGCAAACAGGTATGGAAATGAAATCACATGCCTCAAATTTTACCAAGTGGCCAAGTTTATCCCAGCAAAACTAGCCCAGTTTGGAACTTCCTTGGCTACTGTGTGTTAAGAAACATGCTATATGTACATTATTCTAACAACCCTGGGACTAAGATCACAGAGGGAAAGTAACTTGGGGTGAGACCTCATCAGAAGTCCCAGGAGATGCGAGTTCAAGGAGGAGGTACTGGTGTCAGGCTGGGTGGGAGCTGGAAGTAGTACAGCAAGCTACAAATTCGTCACCGCAGATCTAAAATGTTACCTTCTACTTTTCCACAGATTTTCTTTTTTAATCTCCTGACCCAATAAATTAGGCTTGCTCCAGTTCTCATTTTAAATTATTTAAAATTCAACAGGCACTTAAAATACACTCAGCCATTTAGCTTCACTTTCAGATGGAAGTTCAAGGTCTGTCGACACCTGCTGGGCGCCCCTCCTGCCCTGGGGGGTGGGTGCCCGGCTCTGGTCTCGCGTGAGTCCCACGCGCACACTCAGGCCGTTCTGACGCTAGTGTGTCTTGCAGGAACACCACCATCTCCCTCCTGACCACTGATGATGCTGTGGTCTCCATCGACCCCACCATGCCTGCAAATTCAGAACGGTAAGCCACTATGGCCAGTGTCATTGGCTGGCTCTTCTGGGGGTGCTGACACTTCCTCACCACACGGGGGGGTTCCTTGGGGTTTCAAAATATTTACCAGACAGGAAAGTGAGGTTTAAGTGGAGATGGAATGGCGGAAGGGAGGCAGGAGAAAGGAGGCTGGATTGGCTTTTTCCTCTGCATGAGTCCACATTCCATTCTCAACAGGAGCCCTGTGAGAAGGCAGTGTGCAGATGGGGGAACTGAGGCATGGGAGGCTGGCCCAGGCTCTGTTATCCCTATAGTGACCCCAGGAAGATCATAGGAGGACCAACAGAGAACACTGAGCATCTCCCTACTTGGGACTCATGGGGCTATTCTGTGCTCAGGGGGAAGACACCAGGACGCAGAAGTAGCAGATGGGGGAGGCTGAGAAGGTTGGGAAGAGTTGGCTGTGCTGCTCTGGTGAAAATGTGTAAAGTGGGCGAAGCTGGCTGTGTGTGCTCCCAGGAGACATGGAGTGGGGGTCCCTCAAGTCAGTGAACTGTCACTTTACCAGGTGGCCCAGAAAGTTCCTGCAGTCCCCATGGCATATTTGCAGTTGAGCAAGGCAGAATTGAATTTGTGCTCTCTGGGGAGCCATTGGCAAGGTGTTCCCCTGGGACCCCAGTCTGGGTTCCCTGCTCCTCACTGACCAGCCCTCTGAGGAACTCGATGGAAGTTACGGGGGCCTTTGTCAATCTGGTTATTAGGGTGTCCTGCCAATGGCGCTGTGGCCAGCTCTGAGCTCACAGGGGAGAGCATGTGCCAGGTGCCTGCTCAGACATCCTGTGTATGCTTAATGACCCAGTGAAGTATTTGGACTGGAACTTCCTCCTAGGCTCCCGAACGCTCCCCCATCTAACGTGTGTGCACCCGAGCACCCAGGCACGGGGCACCTTTTCTCCTTCCTCCTGTTCTCAGAAGGCTGCTGTCCTAGTCAGCAAGGTCTCAGTGGACGTTTTCAGCAAGATCTCAGTGGATATGTTCAGTGCTCTCCTGGTCAGTGAGGTCCCAGTAGACATGGCTGAGGCTGGCCCCGTCACTTGAGGCCTTGGCCAGGCCCTATCCCTGCTCGGTGGGCATGCCACCCCAGTGGCCAGTATTGCTCCCCATTCACGTTAGGAGGACATCTCCCACCCTCCTCCCCCTCTTTCTGACTCTCAGCTTCTAGACTCCCCAAAAGACATGCTGCTAGTTGGCTACTCAAAGACTCCGGTGAGAGTTGTGTGCGTCTCAGCCCCAGCCTTGCCTGCACGTCTTCAGGAAGAGGTCACTAGCTGACACCCACAGGAATAAAATCACCTCCTCTGAGGGGATTTATCTTCAATGAGCCTTTTCAGTGCGAGTGGAGTCTCTGATGGAGCAAACCCACACCAGCTTTCCTGAATTCAGTTACGACAGCCTGCCTGCAGAGCTATTCACACTGCACAAGGAACAAAGAAGAGCAGCTCACCTTGACCCCAGAGGCTCCTTGACAAGACAAGGTGTCAGACATCAGACAAAAGCCTTCCAAGCCTGAATGTTTGGAACAAATTCTTTGCTCTCCTGGGATGCTAAACAAATGCCTCTCTGATACAGCAATAGACAGAGGGAGGCAGCGATGTGTGGCGATGGACAGGCGTTATTTCTATGGATGCAGATACAGGGATGGATGTGGATCGAGCTGGACGTGGATGTACATGTGGACGTGGATGTGGCATTGGTGTGGATAAGGAGGTAGACTTAGTGAGGTGTACAGAACAGGGAGGTACATACAGACGCAGTAGGTGTGTAGGAGAGAAGAGACTGTCTCATCTCCTCTCACAAATTCATCACGAGTGGGCAGCCTGTGCTGAGATGGGGAGCTCACTTACTCCCAGGCTGGTCCCCACGTCGTCCTGTCTCACTTGTCCCTTCTTCCCACTCCCTCTGCACCCCCAACGCCATATCTTGCCGTCTCAGCCCCCGGTCACTACAATGGCTCTCAGTTTCCTGTCTCCAGCCCACCTCTCACACACAGCTGCCAGGCTCAGCTTGGTCAGACATCGCCTCCTCCAGGGTGGCCTTGTGGTTTGGGCTCTGAGGACTTCTCAGCAGGTCCCGTGTCACCCTGCTCCCCACACTCAGCCTCAGAGACCCTCCTTCCCAAGCTTTGCGAAGGTGACTTCTGCTCATCCTTCAGACACCTGCCCGGCACCCAGCACTGTCACTCTGAAATGGTCTGGACTCCCTTGATACTTTTCACTGCCTTTCTATCCCCGCTGGGCTATAGTCCCTGTCAGGGAAGAGTTTGGTCTCACTGCTTTATCTCCACCTCCTAAAGGAGGGGACATACAACGGGTGCTCAATGAAGACATCCTGAGTGAAGGAGGAATAAATGAATCCCACTCAGCCATGCTGCCCCCTTTCTTGCCCAGAACCCAGACCTCCTAAACCCTGCGAGCATGTCATGGTCACAGAGTCCGTGGTGCTTCATGCTGTACCAGTGGTTCTCAGTGCAAGATTTTGTTCCTCAGGATATTGAGCAGTGACCGGTGGCATTTCTGGTTGTCACAACAGGGAGTACACTTGTCTGGCTCCAAATGTTGTTGGGGCCAGCTGAGCCTGGGCAGGGTGATCTTCCCCCATGTTCTCCTTAGCCAGGGGACGTCCTCTCAAAGTCACCCAGCTTCTCACCTAGTAGTTCCCAAACTCAGCTGTGCCAGAACCTGCCATGGGTGCAGGGAGCACAAAGGTTCTCTCCCCATTCCCCAGTTCTGATCCAGAAGACACTGGGGGGCTGGCCCAGGGCCAGGGTAGCATTGCTCTTCTCACCCAATGGGGCTTTTTCTCTACTCTCCTGCCCTTTGGCATCCTGCACTTGACCTTGCTGACCTTTTCTGCTTTCAGACTCCTTCTACCCTTCAGCTTCCCCCAGACCTCTGTCTATGTTGCCATTCTCAACCCTGTGGCACCTGAGCTGTTCTCTGAGGTTTGCCCTTGGCCCCCACTTACCTCACTCCTCTCCTCCTCTGTGCCACATCTTATCCGCCCCCACACTGGAGGCATGGCTCCAGTGGTAGAGCACCTGTTAAGCACAGATCCTGAGTTAAAACCCCACTACTGCCAAAAAACAAAACAAAACAAAATTAGCCCTCCTTCCCAAGGCCTCAGGCTGCCCTAGCTCTGCCTTCCTAATGGCTGCCTGTCTCCACCCTCATGTCCACCTGCCCAGGAAGGCTCAGCAACCAGCACTGCATGGTGCAAAGATGGGGCTGTGTTGGGCAGAGGATGTCAGAGGCTGTCAGTGGCTGCTCGGGGCTTCACTTGCATTGGGAGGTGTGGGGCCTGAAAATGCCGTCTCCATTTCTGTGCCTCCCTGCCATAGACCCCTGGTGGGTTGAGCAGAGTGCCTGCCAGGTGTCATAAAGATGTGCATCCTCTCCCATTCTAGCCGCCAGTGCAAACCAGGTCAGCTCGACATTGGCTTTCATCCCTGCTGCGCATTAAAACCACCTGGGTCTTTTAAGAGGGCCTGGTTCGCGCCCAGTCTCCTCCTAGGACCCATTAGCCCAGATTTTTTGAAGGTTTTTTTTTTTTTTTTTTTAAGTTCTGCAAGGAGTCCCAGCTTGCAGCCCAAGGTGAGAACCACTGGTGTGAAGAGTGGGAATCCTCAGAAACCACTCTAGACCCCAGTGGGTGTCCAGCTCTCGTGAGCAGAAAGTCCTGCCACAGGCTCCAGCTGTGCCCTTCTCAGAATGAGCTGGATGGACCCTTCATTTCTGTCCAGCAAATGCCAGTCCCACCTCATGCCAGCTAGTCCAGACAGCCACGACTGCGGTGTGGTTGGTGGGCTTGTCTCTCTTTAGCTTCCCCCACCTCTGAAGACCTCGGAATCACTGAGCTTGGACTTGGTCACTTCTCCTGTCCCCAGCCTCTGACTGAGGGGCTGTCTCGGGGAGGGGCCTGTGCTGCAGATGGCTGGTGTCAGCCATACACTGGGGGCTTTTCCGCTTTCCCTCTCATAGGGTGGGCTTTCCACAACAGCATATCCAAGTCCCCAAGGCTCCTGACCGACCACCTCCATCCTTCTCAGAAGTGGTGCTTATCACACTGTCTCTTACAACTTCAGACATTTCAGCTCCTTTCCTGTCCCCCATTTCAAACCCCAGATCATGGAGTTCTCATTGTTCCCCCATCAGAACTCTGAGCAGCCAACCCCAGCTCAGACAGTGTGTCTCATGGGCAAGTATTTGTTCCCCGTCACGGTGCCCTCACTCAGGGCCTGGCCTTCCAGAAAAATCAGCCTCAAACTCCACTGTCAAACCGTCACTCCCCACCACAGTGTTCCCTGTGCCTATTACCCACAGAAAGTGGTCCAGACCCTGGATGGGCCCAAATCCAGCTTCACATCCTTGTTCCCATGTCTGCTAGCTTGCACACATACTCCCTCACTCCTGCAGGTCACCCTCAGCAAGCATCCATGCACTTCCCACCTCTGCGCCATCTGTGTTCCCGCCCTGCCCTGCTGGTCCAGGGGCTACCTCTGCTAAGGCCGGGAATCCCCTGGGGTTCTTCATCCTCCCCGGAGTGCCAGGGGGCTGGGTACAATGAGGAAAGCATACAGATAGTGCGTGGAGGAACCTGGAGCGCTTATGTGAGACAGAGGGCTTTGAGGACCAAGGGCTGACTGGCACCACCAGCAGCCCCTGGCTCTAATGCCCAGCAAGGGGGACTAGGCTTTGATGAAATAGTGCTATGGTTCCTCCTCAGAAGAGTCCCACACCATCAAGTCAAAGCTTTCCTCTCCGATGAGGGAAAGTTCTGGATATGAAGATGTCCAGCTCACGGGGCTGCCTCTTGAACTCTGCCCCTCCCTCCTCTGTCTGCCACTGTCGCAGGACCCCCACTGAAGGAGAAAAGATGCTTACATACAGTGAGAAGCCCGGCGTGTGGCAGTGCATATGGAGAGAGGAGAGGGCCAGAGTGGCACTGCATGCTTGTGACAGCACACAGTGCTCCTTTTGTTTCCAATTTTAGCCAAGTTGTCAGCTGCTCAGCTCCCTACTGGGCGAAGCAGCCACGTGAGTGCCTTCAAGGATGGCTTTGCCTCAACACCTCCAAACCTCCTCCGCTAGATGTGTTTTAAAGGGGGACCAGAGTGCAGGCAGTCACATTGTAGAAAAAGACACACAGTAAACTTCCAAGGCCAGTCTGTCGCTTCCGCAGGGGGCAGGTTCATGTTCACAGTATGGAGGAAGAGAACAGTGAAGATGTAACTGCATTCAGATGGAGCCAACTGTGTATTCAGTCCAGGAGCAACGTCACTGGCTCTGAGAAGCACCACTGCTGTCAGAGCAGGAAGGATTAGGGGACTAGGAGCCAAGACAATTTTGAGTGGCCATGAAGTGCAGCCTGAGGGCCTGGAAGAGTCCATAGCTGCTGGATGTTCCTGCAGTGCTAATGTCCAACCCCACATCCACTCGGGCTGCAGTACCTGCTTGTTGGTTCTCTTCCCCCATAGCTCACTGAGGGACTGTCCTGTGGGCTTTTGAGCAGGTCACAATGGCTTAAAAGGAGGGACCAGCAGCTCCAGGATCATCGTAGTAGTGACAGAAGGGTCTCTGGACAAGCCTGCCCTTGTGTCTACAGAGGGTCTTCAGCCTCTCCTCCTTGGAGACACCTGCTCAGTCCCCACTGCACTAAAGTGAAGCTGTTCTCCACCTTGCCTCGCCCACTTCCTGGGCCCTTCTCTGCTCCTTGTCACCAGCCCTGCTCCTTTCAACATTGACTTTGAGGCCAAGGGACAAGGAGAAAGAGGAGGGAAGAAAAGCCCTTGTGGCCCCTCTGAGTGGGAAGAGAAAGTCCTTCCTGCTGCATGCTGGGAGCCAGGGCTCTCCCTCTCCACCCGTTGTCCCCTACTAGTGCAAGGAGCCTGAGAGGTGCTGAGAGATGGGGGGAGGAAAGAGGGAATGGGGAAGAAGAGGCTTCTGGCTTCTCACCTCCCCACCCTTCACTCCCGTCCTCTCAGCCTGGGCCCAGCCTCTCTTGCATGGAGATTGCAGCACAGACACCGTGGCTCAGAGCACCAGTGCCAGTCCTAGCCCAGCGCAGCTATCAGTACCCTGCCTGACCCCAGGCTTCAGGCTACTTAGGATCACAGTTATCAGATCCGGAAAGCCCAGGGACCATATCTGAGATTGTCTCTGCAGAGAAAGGGAGCCTGTGAAAAGGGGCCTTTCCTTAGGGAGGAGCAAAGACCCGGATGGGAGACGTGCAGGCGTGGGCTGGCTTCTCAGCCTTCCATGTGAGTAGGAACTGCGCTCAGAGAAGAGGCGAGAATGGGAGATCACCATGGTTGGGGGGGGAGGAGGTGGAAGGGTCCACCTCCACGGCGCCATGCAGTCTTATTTTTTATGCTTCATGAGTATTAAAAATTGTGAAGCTTTTCCATGTTGCCTATTGCCATTAATCCACAGCTATCACCCCAATTAATCACTGTTAACAGCTCAGTGTGTGTGTCCTCTGTATTTTCTTTTTCAGAAATGAGCTCATTCTGTCTATATGACAGTAGCTTGCTGTTTCTACCCAGTAAGACTCCTGGGCCTCCCTCCAGGTCAATGCTGTGCATTTGTCTTGTCTTCTAAAACTGAGGCAGACACATAGGGTGCCGGCTCCAAGGATAAACCTCGAACAGAGGCCTAAGCGACAGGTTTCTCACAGTTTTGCAGCTGCAAGTCCAGGGTGCTGGCACAGTCAGTTCTGAGGGGGGCTCTCCTCCTGGTTTGCAGATGGCTGCCTTCTCACTTTGTCCTCCTCACATGGCACAGAGAGATAGATCAGGTCTCTTGGTCTACTTATAAAGACGCAAATTCCACTCATGACTCTATCCAAAGCCCGTTACCTCCTAAGGCCCGACCTCCTAATTCCATCTCACCGGGGTTAGAGCTTCAACCCAAACCAGACCGCAACACTGGGATGGGAATGTGCCACCCACCTGTGAAGAGATACCAGGTGTCCCTGGTTCTGAGCGGTTCATTGTGACACCCATCTCATCAACCTCACCCTGAATGAGGAATGTCAGTGTCTGGGAGCAGGGAGGAGTCTTTTGGCCTTGTGTACTGCTGTGTCCCCAGCCCCTGAGGACAGGGGGCACTCAGCAAAGAAGAAACAAATGAGCCAAGCATGGAGCCAAAGCCCCGACCGTGTCCCTGTGGTCTGACGTTTCATCATGATGTGTGGCTTCCTGAGCTCATCTGAGGGGATCTTGTATTTTGAAGGTTCATCCGTGTTGCTGGGTTGCTTGCCAAGGTCAAGGCTATACAGTCCTACCAGTACCACCCTCGAGGGCTGCTTCTAGGGGCCCTGCAGCCCTCCTGCTAGCAGGGTTTAACTTTGCTAAACTTGCTGGGTAAAAAATTGGTGTCTCCCCTGACGTTGCTGAGAGTGCTGCTTTCGAACCCCTCCTGGAATGCCAGCTCCTGGGCTTCACCTCATTTCTGTTGGCCTCAGACTTGTCCCACATCTGCCCGGAGGTCCTTGTGTCACTAATGGTACTCTTTCATCTGACATGTGTATTGCCAGTGTCCTCTGCCCAGCCTCGCTGGAGTGACATCACCAAGATACTGGTGTGTGTTTCAAAGAGTCACTGTCTGCATCCTCTGTCCATTGGGGATAGAGTCACTGTGATGGGGAGCCCACCTGCCTCGGCCAGATGTTGGGGTGAATTTCAGCAATAATGTCAGAAGCTGCTGATCCCACCATATACCACACCTTTGACTGGTAGTAACACCAATGACAAAAATTTGTTTCACTGACCAAATATTAACCTTAGAAAGGAAGTTGAGTCTGGGCGCAGTGGCTCAGGAGCCTTTTGGTCTTGTTCACTGCTCCCAATCCCATTGAAGTGGAGTGGGAAGCATGCAGTTTGAAGCCAGCTCCAGCAAAAACTTAGACCCCGTTTCAATCAATAAACTGGATGTGGTACTGCACCCTCAAGAGGGCCTAAGTGAGAGGGTCATGGTCTGAGGGCAGCCCCTGCAATGAGGTCCTAGCTGAAAAATAACCCAAAACAAAAGGGGGAGGGAGTGTGGCTTAAGTGTTATAGCACCTGCCTAGCAAACACAAGGCCCTGAGTTCAAATCCCATACCACCAAAAAGAAGTAAGTGGATCATTTGAATAATATAACTGAAACAGAATTCATCTGAATGAGGAAGCTCAAAATAGCCAAAGAAAATTTTTAAACAGGGTTTGAGGGTGTAGCTCGGTGGTATAGCACATGCTTAGCATGCATAATGGCCTGGGTTTAATCCCTAGCACCAAAGGAAAAAAAAAAAAAAACCCTAATCCACCGATTCTAATTTTCCCAAGAGCTTATCTCTGATACCAGGCATGCATGCAGCAAACATCTGACAGCCTCTCAGTTCACAGTGGCACTCTCTTTTCTTGCAGAACTCCCTACAAAGTGAGACCTGTGGCCGTCAAACAACTATCTGGTAAGGCTCTGGTATCATTTTTTTAATTAAAAAAACAATTGTATGCACATATGAATAAAACAAAATTTAAAAAAGCAGGACAGTCATAGCCTGTCCCATTCGCAGAGTACGTATTAGCTAAGGGCTTGAGTCTTCGGTCTGAGACTGTCACAGAATCTGAAAACCCGTACTACCATCTAGACTTCCCATCTCAGTGCCTGCCCCGAGCCTGACGCATGGCAGAGGCTGGGTGATGGTCCACCTTGGCTTCCTGGGGTCCAGCACCTGTCCCCATTCCCTGTGATCTTCCAGCAAGGCCTCCTGACCCCAGTGTTTCTCAGGGTGGCTCACCCGTCAGTCGTGTTATTTTGTTAGAATTTTTATTTCCTCTCAGATTTTTACGTTCTTATCAATGTATGATTTTTAAATAATAAAGTGCCCCCATTTAAATGGATATTACAGGTTTTGAAAAATTTATACACCCCTGTCAACATCACCAAAATCAAGATCAGATTGTTGACCTCCCCTCTCTGTCATGCCCCTTCTAGTCTGTCTCTCACCAGGTGACCTTCCTTCAGACACCATGAATTAGATTCCTCCTTTCAAGAATTTTGTAGAAAAGAAATTGCACAGAATGTACTCTTTCTTGACTCACCACAGTGATTTGAGATCTGTGAGTTTCAGTAATTCACTCCGTTCTGTTGCTACGTAATGCGCGATAGCGTACCCCAGGTGTGGAGTGGACAAGCATGCGCTTCTCACACACCTGTGGTGGACATTTGGGTCATTTCTGGCTTAGGGCCTGTTATGAATGAAGCTGCTCTGAGCGCCACCCTGCAAGCTTTTGTGGAGACAGAATTTTCATCCCACGTGGATAAATACCCAAGGAGGCTGACTGGGTCAGATAGTTCTGCTGTGTTTAACTTTGTCAAAACTATTAGTCGCTTTCCCAAGTGGGTCCAGGTGCTCTGCCTCTCACCAGCACCTGGCATTGTCGCCATGTTTATTTTAGTGGCTCTGATGGCGTGCACGGTGGTTTTCACTTGTGATTCCCGGCTGATTAATGACGGCATCTCTAGAGCATTCACTGGCTGGTCACCTTTCTTGTATGAACTATCTCCTCTAGTCTTTTATTAATCCCAGTTGCTCCATGGCCCCCTGCATTGTGAGTGTTCGTGATAGACTTCGTTTGTCACATGTGTGTTATTAGTATTTGACCTGGTCTGCAACTTTCCTTTTCGTTTTCTTACTGTTCATTTCAGTGACCAGAAGTTTTAAATTTGGAATAGGCCCAGTTTATCAATTTTGTTCTTTTTTGACTTCTGTGGGTTTGTCTTCTCTCTAGGAAGTCTTAGTTTATCCCATAGTTGTGAAGTTTTTCTCTTGTGTTTTCTCCCAGAAGTTTTGCAGTTTCAGCTTGTGTATTTGGTCTTTGATCAGCTTGTTTGTTTTGTGGTGCTGGAGGTCAGACCCAGAGCCCTGCATGCAAGGGCTTGCACTGAATCACACTCCCAGCCCGTGTGATCAGTTTTGAGTTAATTTTTGTGTATGACATGAGGTAGAAGTTAAGGCTTGTTTTCTTTTCTCCAGTTTAATTTGGGGCTTTGGAAGTTGGATGGTTGCAGGTAGACTTTTGAAGCATCCATGGGGAGCTGAGTGGTGTGTGCGGCCATATTTCTGGGCCTCGTTCCTCCTCTGTGGAGTGACCGTGTTCACGTGTAAGCACTACTTGCTTGAGTAGCTCATTATGGAGACTCTTCATCCTCTTCTTTTGACAGTAGATTTTAGAATGGCAGATGGGTTCTAAGCTACCTTTTTCTAGAGTTCAAAATACTTTTTAGGGCTGGGGACATGGCTCAAGTGATGGGTAGCCAGCATGAGGCCCTAAGTTCAAACCCTAGTGCAGGGTGGGGGGGACAAAAAATAAACAGCCCCCCCCCAGACTTTTAACATAAAAAGTTTATCAAACTCTTGACTTAATAGAAGTGTGTCTTTTTTTTTTTTTTTTAGTATTATTACTAACTTAATGCCATACTCTATTTGCATTTCACCAGAATTCATCCACTGCCCTCTGTCTATTCCAGGACCCATCCACAATCCTGCACTGCATTGAGATCTAGGCCTCCCTGGTTTGTGACAGTTTCTCAGACTTTCCTGGTCTGCCATGGCCAGGGGTATCTTGAAGCATCTGCCCAGCACCCCCACCTGGTTTGTCTGGCATCTTTCTCGTGATCGGCCTGGGGTGTGGGTTTGGGAAGAAATCCTGGGAGACGCAATATCCACATACCTTCTCTCCTGTTCTGGGATTCCTCATCCCTCTCCTTACTCTTATCTGGAAGCGAGTTGCTTAGTCCAGCTCACCTAAGTGGAGAAGGAAGTAAGGCTCTATGCACATACTCATTGGTTCACCATCATCTGAAGACAGTCCTCTCTGCCATTGCCTTACAACCCTTTTCCAAAATCAGTGGACCACATCAGTGTCCCCTCTTGTGCTGGACCCGTGCAGTAACGCCTGCATCCATAATTAGAGCACATCCTCTGATTACTCAAGGCTGACAGCAGGTCTTAGAAACAGGTAGGATAAGACCTCTCATTTCTCCTGTTTTTTTTTTTTTTTTCAAAAATGTTTATTGCATTTATTTTCAAATAAATTTTAGAATCAGCCTGTTAGAAAAGTCTGCTAGAGTTTGGACTGAACTCCTGTTAAATATACAGAACAATTTGGGAAGAAGTAGCATCTTAATAATGCTGAAAAATGTCATTTTGTATAATAAAATTTTTTAAGGAAACAGCAATTTGAAAAATAATACAAACAAATAAAATCCTCCCAATCGTGTTGTGTTTCCCAGTGCATGAATGTGATATGCCTCTTCATTTGTTTGAGTTTCCTTTCTTGTCTCTCAGTAACATGTCTCAGTTGGCAGTGCACAGTCCCTGGCTATATGTTGATAAGCTCACCACTAAGCATTTCATAGTTTTAGTGCCAGTAGAAACAGCATATTTTTGAAATTTCTAGGGCTGGGGGAGTAACTCAGTGGTAGCTTGCTTATCTTGCATGCATGAGACCCTGGCTTTAATCTCTTTGCACCACAATTAAAAATTTCAGTTTCCAATGTCTTCTACTTTATGTAACTATAATTGGCTTTTATGTACTAGCCTTGCCAAACTCCTTTATTGGGTTTGCTACCTTTTTGTAGCTTTCCTGTTATTCTCTAGGTGATTTCCCACATCTGCAAAGAGAATTGTTTCTTCTACTTAAATCTTGACTCTATTCCGTTCAGTTATTTTTCTTGCGTTCCTGTATCAGCTAGGATATCCAGTGTAAGAGAGGCTAGCTGTGGGAGCGAGGGTCTTTGCTTTGTTTTTAATCTTGGGGAATTGTACAAAGGCTGTTGCCATCACAGATGGTGACCCTTTATCACGTCATCAGTGAGTGAGCCATGTTAGAAACATAAGTGGACACATTTATGGCTTTTCATGGTGTCACAATTTAATGAATACAGTAAATTCACAAGCTGTGTAAGTTTGGTTGGCTTTTACTCACCAAGTACCACAGATTTCACTTGGCAGTCATGGATCCAGACAAATGGTTGTCAGTTCAAATGTGTCAGGCAGGGGGCTCATACTGTGCTTGTGCCCTGGGGGGACAGAGTCAGGAGTTTGTCAGCCATCGATCCTGTGGTTCTCTGCATGATCCGATGATGGGTTGGGATGTGCCACCATACCCCAGAGTGAGGTCCCTCCTTTATATGACCCAGGTGAGGAGGTTGCATTATTTGTTGGTGTGGTGTGTTTGATAAGCTCACAGCAGTGTTTTTCTGATAGGACTACCATATGTCTTTGTGTCTATGTATTCCTGACTTAATTTGATATCTGTACAAGTGATGATATTTTATTTGTATAAATAAGTTACCAGTCTGCCCCATGGTTTATGCTGGACAGATGGTCCACTTGTACAAATGAGATATGGAGTCATTCTGACTCAGCATTTACAAAATGGAACACACTGCTGATTTACAAGAGGCATCACCCAGGGCAAGGCATGGCCTGAAGGCTACTGTTCTATATGATATGGAGGAACTTAGAGCAGGGCTCAGCCTGACCTCCACAGAGGCTGAGGGTTTTTTGTTCGTTTTTTCTATTTGTAGTTTATTGAGAATCTGAATCATAAATTAGTGTTGAATTTTGCTAAGTGCTTTTCTGCTCCTATTGAGATGGTTATGTCTTTTCTCCTCCATTCACTTATTCATGTGTTATACCAATTAATTTTAAAACACTAAACTAACCTTGCATTCCTAGTATGAACTCCATTTTGCCATGCTGTATTATCTTTCTGTTTCAGATTCAGTTTGCAAGTTTCTTTGCTTCCTTATTAATGAGAGACACCGGCCCACAGTTTTACAGTGTGTTCATCTGGTTTTGGTCTTAGGGAAATGCCAGCCTCATAAAATGAGTTGGGAGGTGTTTGCCCACTCCTGTTTTCTGGAAAGGTTTGTATAAGGTTGACATTAGTCCTACCTTAAATTTTCAGAAGGATTCACCAGTGGATACATCCATGCTCGGAGGGCTTTTTTTTGCGGGGGGAGGAGGGGAGTGGGTGGGAAGGTTTTTAGTTATAAAATCAAGTCCTTAACTAGATAAGACTAGTGAAGTAGCTCAAGTGGTAGAGCATCTGCCTAGCAAGCATGAAGCCCTGAGTTCAAACCCCAGCACTACAAAAAAAAAATTCTAAAAATTCTAAACTAGATAAGAATATGCAGGTTTTCTTTTACTTTGAGGGCCAATTTTGAGAAGCCGTGTTCATTTCATCTACGTTCTACCTGAGATTTGTTGACTTGTTGTAGTTTGAACTGTATCCTTGAGATCCTTTTTCTGTTTGTAGGGTTTTAGTGAAATCCTCCCTTTCACTGAGGATTTTAGTATAGTTGGCATCCCTTAATGACCAGGAGAGGTTCTGAGGCATGAGTTGTTAGGTGATTCCCTCCTGAGTGGCTGTCGAGTGCATTCAAACTGAGGCAGCC